TGTGCGCGGAGCCCCGAGCCGCGAGCACTGTGCGCGGAGCCCCGAGCCGCGAGCACTGTGCGCGGAGCCCCGAGCCGTGAGCACTGTGCGCGGAGCCCCGAGCCGTGAGCACTGCGGGTGGAGCCCCGAGCCGTGAGCACTGTACGCGGAGCCCCGAGCCGTGAGCACTGCGGGAGGAGCCTGAACCGTGAGCACTGCGGGAGGAGCCTGAACCGTGAGCACTGCGGGCGGAGCCTGAACCGTGAGCACTGCGGGAGGAGCCCCGAGCGAGCCGTGAGCACTGCGGGCGGAGCCTGAACCGTGAGCACTGTGCGCGGAGCCCCGAGCCGTGAGCACTGCGGGCGGAGCCTGAACCGTGAGCACTGCGGGAGGAGCCTGAACCGTGAGCACTGCGGGAGGAGCCTGAACCGTGAGCACTGCGGGAGGAGCCTGAACCGTGAGCACTGCCCCAGGCCGGCGGGTCGAGCGCAGACGCAGAGTTCGCAGGCCTGGCCCCGGCCAGGGCGTCCGGCCTGCTGGCATCACTCAGCCCCTAGCGGACGCCTGGGGATGACAGGGCGGCTGGCCGGCACCCTGGCTCCCGGCATCCCGGCATCCCGGCATCCCGGCATCCCCTCATCCCGTCATCCCGTCATCCCCGTCATCCCCGTCATCTCCGTCATCCCCGTCATCCCGTCATCCCCGTCATCCCGTCATCCCCATCATCTCCGTCATCCCCGTCATCCCGTCATCCCCGTCATCTCCGTCATCCCCGGCATCCCCAGCATCCCCGGCATCCCCGGCATCCCCGGCATCCCCGGCATCTCCGTCATCCCCGGCATCCCCGGCATCCCCGGCATCCCCGTCATCCCCGTCATCTCCGTCATCCCCGTCATCCCGTCATCCCCGTCATCCCGTCATCCCCGTCATCCCCGTCATCCCGTCATCCCCGTCATCTCCGTCATCCCCGTCATCCCGTCATCCCCGTCATCCCGTCATCCCCGTCATCCGTCATCCCGTCATCCCCGTCATCCCGTCATCCCGTCATCCCCAGCATCCCCGGCATCCCCAGCATCCCCGGCATCCCCGGCATCTCCGGCATCCCGTCATCCCCGTCATCCCGTCATCCCCTGCATCCCGGCATCCCGGCATCCCCGGCATCTCCGGCATCCCGTCATCCCCGGCATCCCGTCATCCCCTGCATCCCGGCATCCCGGCATCCCAGCATCTCCGGCATCTCCTGCATCCCGTCATCCCCGTCATCCCGGCATCCCCAGCATCCCCGTCATCCCCGGCATCCCCGGCATCTCCTGCATCCCGTCATCCCCGTCATCCCGTCATCCCCGGCATCCCGGCATCCCAGCATCTCCAGCATCCCGTCATCCCGTCATCCCCGGCATCCCGGCATCCCGTCATCCCCGTCATCCCCGGCATCCCGGCATCCTCGTCATCCCGGCATCCCCGTCATCCCCGTCATCCCGTCATCCCCGGCGACATCCCCGGCATCCCAGCATCCCCGGCATCCCGTCATCCCCGTCATCCCGTCATCCCCGGCGGCATCCCCGCATCCCCGGCATCCCCGGCATCCCGTCATCCCCGGCATCCCCGGCATCCCGGCATCCCCGGCATCCCCGCCGGCATCCCGGCATCCCCTCCAGCATCCCGGCATCCCCGTCATCCCTGCCGGCATCCCCGTCATCCCGTCATCCCCGGCATCCCCGCCGGCATCCCGGCATCCCCTCCAGCATCCCTGGCATCCCCGGTATCCCCGCCGGCATCCCGGCATCCCCGGCATCCGTCATCCCCGGCATCCCCGCCAGCACCCTGGCTCCCGTCATCCCCGTCATCCGTCATCCCCGGCATCCCCGCCAGCACCCTGGCTCCCGTCATCCCCGTCATCCGTCATCCCCGGCATCCCGGCATCCCATCATCCCATCATCCCCGGCATCCCCGCCGGCATCCCGTCATCCCCGGCATCCCGTCATCCCCGGCATCCCATCATCCCCGGCATCCCATCATCCCCGGCATCCCCGCCGTCATCCCGTCATCCCTGGTATCCCGGCATCCCCGCCGGCATCCCGTCATCCCCGGCATCCCGTCATCCCTGGCATCCCGGCATCCCCGCCGGCATCCCAGCATCCCTGGCATCCCGGCATCCCTGCCGGCATCCCCGCCGGCATCCCGTCATCCCCGGCATCCCGTCATCCCGTCATCCCGGCATCCCCGCCGGCATCCCGGCATCCCTGCCGGCATCCCCGCCGGCATCCCGTCATCCCCGGCATCCCGTCATCCCTGGCATCCCGGCATCCCCGCCGGCATCCCGGCATCCCTGTTGTCCTGGTCATCCCCTCATTCCGGCATCGTGTGGAATGCTTAGACCATGTTTACCCACATTCCTTCATCTTGAATGCAGGTGGTTCTGTTGGCAGCTCTGCATCTTCCCAGAGTTCAAATGTCTGAGCGAATTTAACAAATATTTTAGACAAATGAAGCATTTTTTAAACAAACTTAACAAATGTTTAACAAATTTAAAAGTCAGAGCCAGGGTAGTGCCTATTAGAAAGGATGGGGTTGGGGCAGGTGACAGCACTGGGCTGTGGGTGGCCTTGTCGCGGGGTTGGGAGATGCTGGCTGCCGGCGGGGGTGTGTGCTGCTATGTTTCCTTCCTGTGTCTCCAGGGGACTCCTGATGAAGGATGAGTGGTGACCACTGGAGGCCGACAGATGGAGGAAGGCAACGCCTCCCCAGCCGCCCCCTGGGCTGTGCATGAGATGGAGGCCTGTGAGCTTCCGGCCAAGACCAGGAGCCTGCCGGCCTCCCCCTACGAAGACTTTCACAAGGACACTGAGGCGGTCATCTGTCCTCCTGAACTGATTTTAGACCTGAGTAACAGCGGTCTGAGTCATGTTGGAGAGGCCTTCAAAGTCCCCAACCTTCAAGTAAGTGGTCAGGTCCTGAGGTGTTGCACAATGCCGTGAGATGAGGGCACTGGCCTTGTGTTCCAGGCCTCTGTCTTCGTAGGAGGGATGGCTTCTAGACTGAGGCACAGGAAGCTCATGGGATTTCATATGCTGATGATAGCAAAGAGCAATGCAGAAGCAGCACTAGCAACCCGGATGGATCCCTAGCCAGATGGCACCTTCTCTGTCTGCAGATTGCCTTTCTCGACCAGGAAGTCTCAGCCAGAAAACATGCAGATGACCTTTCCTTTTTCCTTTTCTTTTCTATCCCCTCCTTCCCTTCCTCCCTCCCTTCCTGTTTTGAGTCAGGGTCTCACTATATAATTTCAACCGCATTAAGCCCCGCCCCCCAGTGCACTCCTCTCATTAACACCAACATTTAGGGCCACACTACTGGCCTAGGGACTCCTCACCTGTGTTCCTGTCACGCACATGTTACTTATGAGAAGTGAGTGCTTACACTTTTAACAAAGGGGTCTGGTCAGCCTTAAGCTTCTTGATGCTCTTACACAGGCAGAGGAAGAAGGTGACTCCACTTTAGATTTCACACAGATCTTCATAACGTACGCCTTCCAGAGGACAGGCCTCAGTTAGAATTTTATTACCACAACAGAAGTCAGTAGGCAAGGCAGAACATACCGGGCCAGGGCCCCACTGTGAGCTGTAGACCATAGGGGTGAGGGCCCCTATCTGAGCTGTAGACCTAGGGGTGAGGGCCTCTACCTGAGCTGTAGACCTAGGGGTGAGGACCTCTATCTGAGCTGTAGACCTAGGGGTGAGGACCTCTACCTGAGCTGTAGACCTAGGGGTGAGGACCTCTATCTGTGCTGTAGACCTAGGGGTGAGGACCTCTATCTGTGCTGTAGACCTAGGGGTGAGGACCTCTACCTGAGCTGTAGACCTAGGGGTGAGGACCTCTATCTGTGAGCTGTAGACCTAGGGGTGAGGGCCTCTACCTGAGCTGTAGACCTAGGGGTGAGGGCCTCTCTCTGAGCTGCAGACCACAGTGGGGAGGGCCTCTCTCTGAGCTGCAGACCATACGAGTTGAAAGCTAAGTTATGCAGCTGCAGTAGCAATCCCAGCAGCCACAAACAACCCTACCAGACATGCAGACTTGTGGATATAAAGAACCTTCCCCTTTCGCCCACGCAGAACCCCAACAAAAGTCAGATAAAGTTTCAGATGCAAAGCATTGGCTGCTCTTGCAGGGAAAGGGAGTTGTGTAATTTTCTAAGCTCATTTACTGGCTTTCAGAGGGACCCGTGGCTTCAAATCTGAACACCAGACTTAGCTCACAGGTAGAAGAAAAGAAAAGGCCTGAAAAGGTGAAAAATCTCCACTAAAGGAACAGGAAGGGCCATGATGGAGGAAACACACACCTGTGAACGGGGACATTGTCTGCCATGCTCACAGGCACACACACGTGTGTGGGGACATGTGCTCGTGCATTTCAAGGGTTCTTTCCCTGTATCCATGCAGGGGGGCATGCATTTTCATATGCCTGGAGGTGTGTATTTGTGTGTGTGTGTGTGATGTGCATTCTCATGCACCTGGAAGGCATACATGTATGTACATGGGACAATTGGAGATGTACATGACAGGTGTTTCAATGTACCTGGATATGTACGTGAGCACTTTCTCATGTACCTGGAAGCATGTACTCTGTACCTTAATTGCCACTGCTCTCTAGAGATTATATCAGCTGCCAGGAGACAGGTGTAGTGGTTCCCAGAAGCCAACAAGTAATTTTGGTTTGGAAGACAGGGCTGGTAGTTGAACTGGAATTTAGGAAGTCATAATGGCGAGCACTTGTGGGCACTTCCTGGTCTTCTGTTCATTTGGTGCTGCTCTGCAGCTTAGGTCCCAGACCCTCATCCTACAGGTAAGTCACGGCACAGAGTACAGCAAGAACTTGCTGAAGGTTGTATAGCTAATAGTTTTTGAAATCTGACTTTGAGCCCAGACAACCTAGAGTCTGGTCAGTGCTCGCTCCAACTATTTCTAGGGCCCAGCTGAATGTGAATATTGGTGCAAATATGTGTGATCATGCAAATAGATACACAATATAGCAACAGCATTAAGTAAGGTATTTTTTTTAATTACCTTTAAGTCAGCCATGGTATGGCTATAAATTACATACACAGTGTTCCGCCTTATCCAGAAAGATTAAGTAGAAAATTGAGAAGTGATTAATGCTTTAATAGCTTTTTACAATCTGTGGTTAGTTTTACTAGTTATTGTTCTTACTGTGCGAAGTATGTAAGTTACACCTTATAGGGGACACTGGAAACAGTGTCTTCCGGTGCTCTGTGGTCCCAGCACCCACAGGAGATGGCTCAGGTCAGCAGTGTGCATACTCCTTTCTCTTATTTACGATGATGACGTAAGCTTCGGCTGTGATGATGTGTCATGCTCTGGAATGATCATTTCTAGGGTTATTTGATGTGGCTGTTCCTCCTAAATTGTGCCACAGCAAATCTCTCAAGAGCCTCTGTCCTTGAGTCTTGCAGGCTTAGACTGAATCCCTGGCTTTAGTCGTGATTTCTGACTATTCACTGCCAGGGCTTCTGAGAGTCATGATGCCTTCCTGTGGCAGGAAGAAGAAACCGGAGGTTAAAACCTCAAGATGCTTGATGTGGAGGTGATGTGTGTGCCGTCCCTCGCAGCTCTGAAAGTGGCTTTTCCCCCTGCCCAAGGTGTGCACGTTGTGTCTGCTGTTTTAGCTCCTTAAGTGTAAAACTTTTCTGTGTGACGTCTGTAGTTGTGGTTGTCGGCAGGCCTCTTGCAGTGTTCTTGGACATAGCCATTTCAGATGCAGCTGCTAACAGCACGTTCTGGTTCCCCTCTTGTGGAAGCAACTGTACCTGCAGAGGAACGCCTTGTGCACCATCCCTGGAGACTTCTTCCAGCGGCTGCCCAGCCTGACCTGGCTTGACCTTCGCTTTAACAAGATTAGAGCGCTTCCCGTTGGGATTGGATCTCATAAGTAAGTGGTGGGTTTTTCTTTCTAGATCTTAAGAAAGCATTGTTTCAAAGTGCCTAATTCCGGGTCTCTGGCAGCCTGGCTTCTCCTCGGCAGTAAAGCAGCAGGTTTTTATATTTCTTTTTCTTTTTGGGTGGGGGGGTCCGGTCATGGGGCCTGAACTCTGGGCCTGGGCACTGTCCCTCAGCTCTTCAGCTCAAGGCTAGCGCTCTACCACTTGAGCCACAGC